AATCGTAACTTTGATTTAATTTCCAAATTCAATAGTGATTTAAAAACTCTTCTGCGACAAGGGATTAGCCAGCCTGGTTTTTATGGCGATGTGATTTACAAACTTCGTAAGATTTTGGGTCATGGTAATTTTTCTGCTGTTTTTACTAAAATCATTAAACGTTTTATTAAAAGAGGTTATGACCCTACTATTTTAAGACATACTGCATGTTTAGTGTTCAACCCTTTTACAGTTGGACACTACGCTTTCCTCTTTTGATTGCATCTGACGGACCAAGTGGGAGACTCTATGATGGATAGTTCGTAAAGCCCTTTGGGACTGAATTGTCTTAATGTTCGTCTTCTGCCTTGCTTCGTCGGCCCTTGTAGGTGATTTTCTTGTTGCTCTGTCTTCCTTTAGGACATTGAGTACTTTTGTTATGGTCATTGGGTTTACTTTTATATGTTTCTACATGATCATTTTAGTGTTTTACTTATTTAACCTTTTGTAACCATGACAACTGTTAGAATTTCACTTGGCGGGGATTCATTTTATTTACACTGTCTCGTTTATAGGAACATGGTGGGGCTAAGAGCGAGGTTTGGTGCACCATTAACCGGTTTAAACTCCCCAGCAGTCATTATTATGCTGCTGACCGTTCCAAGGCGGCGCCCCACTGTGTTCCTCAGATGTATGTCTTATGTTGTTTCATACTGTTTTGGTGACACTTTTGCTTGTGTCCCTTGTTGTTTTCTCGTCTACGGTAAGTATCTTCCCCATTGCCTCTAGTTTTTATTTCTTTGATTACTCCCCACACCCTCCCCCGGTCACCTGTCCCCTTCCCCTTTGTGGGCCTATTTTTATTTTCTTTGAATTCCTAATCAGTTACAAATTAATTATCATTTAATGATTAACCTGTCCGTGCTCTGTCTTTGCCCTGTCCTGTTTTTGTTTGGGGTCCCCCTGGGCTCCTTGCCATTGGTTCTTGTTGCAGGGTCATGTGGGGGATGCGTTCATTGAACGCCGCCTTTCCTTGTTGATCTTGTTTATCATATTTTTTGCAAATCAAAAATTTCTGGAACGGTTGCGTCAGTTTTGTAAACTCGGTACCCATGTAACGTATTGCACTTCTGAATTTTATATGGTCACTAAACTCATTATTGTCTATTTTTAGAATCCTCTTCCTTAGTTTCGTTTGCGTATTTACTCGTCGTTTTGTGATCGCCTTTGAAAGGCTCAGGGCAAGGCCCTTGCATCTTTCTCGGTGCCCCTGTGCCGATCCTGGTTGTAAAAACCCTCGAAATTCTAAATACGAAAGAAACTTACTGAGGTTTACAATTACATTTTTTGCCCAATATGGCGACTTTTCTGTCTGACGTGACTTAAAGTAGTTTAATAGCACCTGTGGGGTTGATTTTTCTAATATATGACAAGGAGTGTCCAAGCAGTCAATATATCTAAGATACCTTTTTATTATTCCCATATACTCCCTTGCTCTTTCTCCTGTGACGTCTCCACCTATCGAACTTTTCAGATGAGAGACCCAATTATCTAATAAGTGTCTTCTTCTCGTGACAACCACTGGTGCACGGGCCTTGTCAGCTTTCTGGGGCACCAAGGGCGTAAACCTTCGGGCGTTCATATCCCTGTCCGATGCAACTGACGGAGGTGCCTCAGTATCGTCTGACCGGCTGCCATCTTCCGATTCGGAAGGAGGTGGGATAAGCCACGACATATCTGTCACTTTGATGGCCTCTTTTGCCCGGCGAACAGAGGCCGTCCTCGTGAAACAGTGTCCTTTACCTCTTAAGTGGAGAGGGACGTCTGCTACTATCGCGGCACAGTTGCCCACCGGACAAACTTTATAACTCCTCCCACGATACTTGTACGTACCTAAAAAAGAAAAAGAAATAAGAATAACATAAACCAACACAATTAGGCATGCTACCCCCGGATATAAGACAATGGCGTTTTAATTCAAATTATAAGTGAATACTGTAATTATTTTTGTAAGACTGTGGCATTTGGCATAAATAAGGGCTCTCTACCCCAAACCAGCATATTACAAAAATGTCATATAGTGGCTATGATTCTGCCCCAATGCACCATACTGGCTCTACTTCCATTCCTGTTATCACCCCTACCCTAATCGTCGTATACAAGCTCTATACTTAACTCACAGTGGTTTTTCAGTACCAAATGTTAATGTTCTATTACAGAGACCACTTTTGTGCTTAAATGTTGAATTCTGCTAAAGCCGGCATGCTAACCCAGGATATAAGACAGTGGCTTTTTAATTCAAATTATAAGTGAATACTGTAATTATTTTTGTAAGACTGTAGCATTTGCCATAAATAAAGGCTCTCTACCCCAACCCAGCACATACCGAAAATGTCATATAGTGGCTATGATTCTGCCCCAATGCACCATACTGGCTCTACTTCCATTCCTGTTATCACCTTTACCCTAATCGTCGTATACAAGCTCTATACTTAACTTTAAGTGGTTTTTCAGTACCAAATGTTAATTTTCTATTACAGAGACCACGTTTGTGCTTAAATGTTTACTTCTGCTTAAGCCGGCATGCTAACCCAGAATATAAGCCAGTGGCTTTTTAGTTCAAATTATAAGTGAATACTCTAATTATTTTTGAAAGACTGTGGCATATGCCATAAACAAGGGCTCTCTACCCCAACCCAGCATATTACAAAAATGTCATATAGTGGCTATGATTCTGCCCCAATACTACAGAAATCGATAAAGTTAAAGTACATATTTTTTTATTCATCAGTTAACTATTTTAAGTATTTTGAGACTTCTAAACGGTCGAAGCGGTCACTCCTCTTTATTTTTGTGCAACCTTACTGTATTTGTAGCTGGTTTTTTTGGCACCTTAAGACGATACGAGATAATTGATTATGTTTAAATAGTATTTGCCAAAGTATGGTGGCATATTTCTGCCAACAGTTAACCATATAATAATGACATTAACTATACTACTAACTAGTTAGTTTAAGTGTTAACACGATAAATAACAGACACTTAACTAGATATTTTTCTGTTATATTGATAAATAACGAATTAGATAACTTTGAAAAACACTAAAAAGTGCCCAAGGCTACCAACACTTACCAGTTAAATAAAAGATAATTATCTGTTTATCTATAAAACATTTGTGTTTGTTACTAAAGTAACAGATAATTATCTACATAATTAGATAAATTTCAAATTTCCAGTAAATAGATGATTTGGAATGTTTGAAGGACTGCTAAATCCCCTTCCGCATCTGACATGAAAATGTACTTCTTGACCTTTAACCAACCATGCCCTTGATGTTGTGCCATGTATATCATAAACACATTTTGATCATCAAAAAAGCATGTCTCAGTTATTGACCAATTATCTTCCATATTTAGAAGGTATATACATTTGTAGATAACCCTCTCTTTTTATTTTTTATGTCACGGTAACTATTGGTTGTTTTAGACTTCATATATTGACAAGTTGTTTTTACATATTTGGTAGTATAATGTTTTAAGCAAAGTTGCTATACCATGGGCGGACACGAACGTGTTACGGACGGCCATACGGACGCCCTAACGAGAGGACACTTATTGGGTACTTCTTTTGTTTAAAAGTACCAAATAAGACCATAAAAGTACCGGACAATTCTAACGGAATCAATAAAATTTACTGTAACCTTTTATATAGTTCTTGGTAGCCAACAAGTGCAAATGTGTTCGCCCGGACAGGCGAAAGGACGGATGATATTCCTCTTTTTAATTTCCTTTGCGGAAGGGGATTACATTTTAAAAACTTTTGATTGTCAGTATGTTATAGAGCGGACATGAAAAATAGCTGTTTTTTTTTTCATTGGACTTTTGATTGTTTACTTGACATTGAGGAACGTGACTCGTTTGTTGCACTCTGTACATGGTGTTGTAATGATGATCATTTCTGCCAATTTATCTTTAAAACGTTGCAGCGGTTTCAATGTTATGGAGTGGGCACGAAATGTAGACATTTTAACACTTGACCTTTAAGTGTGACCTTGAACTTGGCGATAGCAACCAAATTATTGCACTCTCCACATAATTTATAATGGTGATTCATTGTCCAAGTTATTAAAAAGTTGTGCAGTGGATAAACGGGTGAACGGACTGTCTGATTTTACAAAGGTGATGTTAGTTTAATAGAATCTGATACTCGAAATAGAAGTATCAAATTCCTAGAAGTTAGTGGCATATTAAAATGCGTCTGTTTCACATGTATCATATCCAATGACATAAAACATATCTTTTAAGATAAATCACATTCACATGGTTATATTCGTTCCGTGACATTTATGGTAAAACAGCTTTAGGGTTACTTAAACTGCCAGAGCTTCTGCTTATCATTTTAAGTTTATATCTTTATCATGGGACATTAATGTATATAAGTTAATATGTCCCTCTATTGCTTCAGGTTTCTGCTCCTAACTGCCGTGTGTTTGGATTGTATAACCATATGACATTAACAAAGCCAGTATGACTTACAACCTATTCATCAAACAAAGTAACACAATATAAAAATGAAAATACAGACAACCAGCAGAGAAACAAATTTTAATTATTGCTAGTTTCAATTGCATAAAACTTGTAAAGACCATACAGCTGTAAGAATATTTAACATATTAAGGCGAGCCTTATGTCAATCACATTAAAATTAGCTTATCATAAAGGTCCATTTACTCTATCCTACGAAGGGTAATGTCAGAAACAATATGATTTCAAACATGATTTTAGATAAGACGATAACTAAGGCCCAACAATGAGCGATATATTTGATCATTTAGAGGTCCGTTACACTTCTATTTATATTCCAACTGCAGTGTAATCAGAGGTTTAAATCTACTTAATGCATCATACCTTTATGTCAATTGAAAGCTTAGTAGACATATGACGTTTCCTTACAAAAAAAATCATTATATGCCTCTGCGAGTGATTTAGCTTAAACTTTAAACTTCATTTTTATAATACTAGACTACAAAGGCCAACAACTTTCTTATCTCAAAATGGAAAATATGGTTTTCCTGGTTTGATCATGACAAAGATTGCAAGGTGAATGCTGCAGATTTAGAAACAGCAAGGTATTTACTCACTTACATTATAAATGATAACGGTGATAGAGTTTTTAATATTTGAAAGTTAAAATAATACGAAACATAATTTCGATATTATGCTTCAAGTAATATCGTTTGAAAATAAGACAACTATTTATTTGCCATGTTTGTTGCAAGATGTGACTATATAAAACTTATAAAGAAATTTACAATTAAATTATTAATACAAGAATGAAAATATTGTGAATGATGTTTTAGGAATAGATTCGCTAATCTCCATCATTTAACTTCTAAGCGAAGGAAAGTTGCAGTGGATACATACACCAAATGGTGGGGTGAGTACCTAATGTGGGGACAGTCAGAAATCACGGAGGCCGAATTTGTTGAGTACCAGAGAAAGGCATATGAGTCAGATAAAGAAATGTTTGTCAAAAGAATGTGGGAAAACGAGGAACTTGTATGTAACTTAATGGACATTGATGGAGATGGGATGATAACAGAAAAAGAACATATTGTTATGTTTGAATCGGCCGAGCATAACGATGAGAATGTTGACCGTAGATGGTTTAATGACTTGAATCCTGTTAATAGAAAAATTTCGGTCAAGACGATGGTGGAAATTTTCTTACGCTTTCTCACGTGCGACGACAGCTTCAAACCTGATTTAATAGTAGAATTATATCAAACTGACACTCTGTAACTTTATTGCAATGCCTATTACTCCGATATATAATAGTTTGCCCGAAGCATTAAGTAAGATATTTATATTTCTTACCAATTCAATGTCAATTTTAAGGTCGGAAATAACACTTCCTTTGTATAATTTGGAAATGAAGTCGATGAGATACAATGCAATTTGTTTTGATGATTTTTTGTCATGAAGGACATTTACTTTACAATTACCAAGCTCCAACCATCAATTATTTGTAATTATTATGTCATTATGGTCACACATATCCAATGATTAAAGATCTGCCAGCCACATAATTCATATAATACAAGTAACAAAGATTAGTTTTTGTAGTCAGTTGAAGAAATTGCATAAAATGGTGAAATGAAAACTTATACAATAGACGTTTATATGCATGCATTGCATTAATCCTATTCAATGTTTTTTATAATGAATTGGAAAGGGTTCAGCTGTACTAATGATGGAAAATATAAAAGCTTGCAGAATTTTCACCGAATTATTCCTATAATTATTAACAATGATAAGTGAAAAAATCTAGGAAAAATTTATCTCTTGAAACCAAGGGCAATAAAAAGGAAGAACTCGTTCTGATTGAGACTGTTCATTAGATAATGAAAAGTAAGTGCGACATCTTTCATCCCTCCCTAACACAAGCTTATGTAGTATTTAATCTACGACATATTGCATAGTTTATTCAATTTGACTATTTCTCACCTCGGGCAAAGCGTATTATCCCCGTGACCATTGACACTGACACTTATTGTCATAAGAAGAAATGCAATGCTTCCTTTCTTTTAATGTAAATAATCTGTATACTAGGTGTTGAATAAATAAGTCTAATTTATAGGAAAATTAGGAGAGATATGTTACATTTTATTGTTAGCTTGTTAATAAGGTGACAAGTGTAAGATATGCCTTTACGACTGCATTGTAAAGATACTGCTTTCATAAAAACATATTGATCTTCGTTTCCTATTTCTTTCTAAGACTGATGAATTACCACAATTTCCTTTACCTTATCATGTCTCAGTATCTTTTTTACCTTATCATGTCTCAGTATTTTTAAACTGTTTAGACTTTGCCTTTTTCCTTTTATTGATAAGCATATTTCAAATGAATTTTTCAATTTATACGCGTCTTGCAAGTAAAGTTTCGGTCGAATACACCATACTTGTTATGTACATACGATTAGAGCTAACCTGCCTGAAAAGTTGAGCACACAAAAAAAATATTGAGAATATTTTATTTTTCGCCCATGTTTTCGACTGTTTAGTGTCCTGCTGGGCTCCTTGCCGATAGTCCTGTGTTGGGGGATGCGTTTGTTGGATGCCTCTCTTGTTGATCTTGGTTTTTTATATTTTACTGCTTGATAATTAAGATTTATTTTAATTTATAAACTATGAAATTTTTGTTAATCAGTACATTTGTACAATGCTCTAAGAACAATGTAACAACCTTGTAACTTATTCAGAGCGTGTTGTTACCAATTCAGAGCGTGAGCTAAAACACTTTAACATTAAACTTTGTAAAGATTGTGTATGGATTTTTCTTTTCACTCCAGATTCTCGTACAATTTGTAGAAATGCTGTAACTACTATGTTATAACCTTGTTGCATCTTTGTAACCAATTTTCCAATTTCTGACCGTTTCAATGGCTTGTGCTGTAGCACTATAACATCGGTAGCAATAAGGTTACAATAAGGTTTTAAATTTCATTTCGTTGTTGTATGAACTTTTATTTTTATTATAAAAGAAAGACATCTGTAACAACTATGTAACAACCTTTTTAAATCTATGTTATCTAAGTTTATTCCATTTTCTGACAATTTCTAGGGCTTTACCTAACACTAGTTACATTTGTAACATATATACCATAAACAATCATCTTGAAAAATATACCCTTTACGACAAAGAAAGCGAATAAAAAAACCATGATGAATATTAAAAGCTTAATCAGGACTCACTTACTTCTAACAAGGAATTTAAAAATACTTATTATAAGAAATAGATGCCTATCCTAAAATGAGTTTTAAAATACTTATTATGAAAAATAGATGCCTAATGAGGATTTTATAAACAACGAATTACGAGAAGAAAATAGCTCTTAATAACCCCTAACAAGAAAACTGAAAGGCCTAATTAGGACAATTAAATCTTAATATAACTTGCAAACTTGCAATTAGGAGAAATTAGCCTTAAAAGCACATTACGAATTTTCTACTAAGGGCCATATGAACTACTTAGGATTTGTTTTAAAATTGTAATTAGTAGTTATAATTAACAATTTTTCAATCCTAATTAGATCTTTATAAACTTAATAAACTTAACTCATTATTAGGAAAAAATGGCTTACTTTAAAAGATAATACACCAATTAGTAGTTTGTTACTCTTATGTGTAAAGTCCTCATGACGGACAATATACTCTTCATTAGTATTCATATCAAAACAGTGTATTTAACAGCAGGTACACAGTTTTTATCATTATAATTATGTTTTCAGTCCAAACTTGGCTTTTAAAACTTCAATTTAAGAATTCCAAAGTCCTTGTAGGGTTCATAATTCTCGTTATTTAACTTTTAAAAGTGATAATAAGACTTACAAAGTCCTAATTATGTTTCTTTATCTCCTTTTAAACTTTTTTTTCTTTTTAAACTTTCAATTAGGAGTGACAAATTCCTAATTAGGTTTACTTTTACTTATTGTTAAGGGTCAAATGTCCCTTTTCAGGCTTTTTAAACTCTAAACTGAGCAACAGAACACTTTCATGGGGATCTGTTTTTTACTTGGAAATGACTACCAATTAACCAGAAAATGATGCAGCCAAAGAAACATGTATATCACATTTATTTACAAATTTGCCGATTTGTTCCGTGAAAGTTACAATTTTCGGTTATATAAAAAATTTACAAATTCGTGTTTTGTTTCTGCTTGCATCTCATTATTACATTATTATCTTCTTTTTTAGTCTCTTTAAAATACTATGTACGTAAATAAAAAATATTGTCTTAAGTGTAATGCATTGACACTTTTTTTATGTTTTTACTTTGATATTGAAGTGAAATGGTATCATTCAGACAATTAATACATTTTTCGATTTGTGTGACAATACTCGATATTGAGTATTGTTTGGTTTTATTAACCTGTCAATTACATACTGATTACACGGTCGATGCACACAGTATATTAATCTTCGGTAGATGTTCGGTAAGTTCCGTGAGATGTACGCTGTATGATGGAATTTAATTTAATTTGTATCTCTAAACTAAGTGTACTCAGCGTTATAGCGCAATAGGGTAAATCACGAGTTTATAATCTAAGTGCCACACGTGTTTTAAGTTCGAGGCCGCGTTGGTCCATGTTTTTTTCTTATTAATATTTTCAACATTATTGAATCTATATTTGATTATTTTATGTTGTTCGTTTTATATTATGTTTTACTTTATTTTGTTATGTATATACTCTTTTTAAATAAGATGTTTTTTAAGAATTCATGTTTAAAATTAAAACGGATTAAAATCAATAGATGTCTTTTCAATGCCGTAAAACACACTACAAATCTGTTCCATTTAAATATACTTAAATAAAGAAAGAGTACTAAAACAATGGCAACAGTAAGGATCGAACCACAGACCTCTCAATTATCAGGCATTCTCTTTACCGACTGTCCTATTGTGAATTAACGAAAACCTTCACATTCAGCTGGCGTGACTTTCAATCCATGACTAATATACTCCACATTAATTCTCGTAAACTACACGGACCAAACCGAAGTGGAATCGAATATTTAAATGAACCCTTTAATGTATTCATAATTGACAGGTCAATAAAATCAGACTAAATCTGTTATTTTGTACCACTAGAAAAATCGTTTTCTTATTTCAAATAGGCCTTCATACACAGTTTACATCTGAATGAATTGTGTTCTGGTAATAAGATGGACGCTCATATACTGATATCCAAATACACGATATATTATTACCTTTTCAAGCCAATGTCATCAAATATTTCAAAGAAATTATTATTATTTAAACACCAGAATTCATTGCATTTAAGAAAAAGTCTGGTTTTGACCTATCAGGCTCAGTTACAAAGCGAACAAAATACGCTATGATATCGTCATTGGGAACACGCTCATTGATTGGCTGAAACGTGTAGAAAAACTGCTCGTCCTTTTGGATATTGGTGTGCGTTTCAGCAACAAAGTCCGTAATGAATTCATCTTTTGAAAGGAATTTGTCTCCATTCAAGTCCATCACTTCGCACCACTTCATTGAAAACACAAAACCATTTCAATTAAAGCAGTTCTGTTAGATTCGTATCTTTGTTTCATCAGGGATACAAAGTCTACTATGGATAGCTCTTTCCTGTTTGTGAAGTAAAATACTTCCCATAGTGTATCCATTTTATTCATTATCGTCTTCAATTGTTCCTCACCCAGAAAATCACGAGCTTTATAATACTCCCTGTGAGAAAAAATGAGAACAATAATTAACAAGACGAAGCCCAGACATACCGCCGTCAAGGCACTTAACCGGACACCGAAACAAAATGTGTAAAGATATATATATATATATATATATATATATATATATATATATATATATATATATATATATATATATATATACAGTGTAACTTCTGAAAACCGAACACCCATGGGACTTATCAAAAAGTTCGGATTTCAGAGGTTTCCGGAATTCAGAGGTTTATGATAATGTGGACAAGACTTGAATTTCTATCAGTCTGTAGAAATGTTCAGTCTGTAGAAATGTTGTTAATTGCATAAACGTACATATTGTCCGATGCTACTTAATTAATTATTACATCAAATGCAATACAATCCCTAAAGACGTTTGATGCATACATCCCAATTAATTGTCATTTAATCCGCTTATTAACACTTCAAATTAACTGACCGTCGTAAATTACTTTACGCATCACTTCAAACATACTATTTCACAGTTTGTGATTTTAACGCGTGTCAAATTACACGATCACCGCTAATTAGTAAACAATCGACAGGGAGATAAAATCTTCCTGCAGGGCAAACATTCTCGATTTACAATGTATTTCACACCTTTGGATATTTCCGGTTTTTGGAGGTAAAATTGCATTGATTTGACTCTAATTTTACGAAAATATCGTCCGGAATTCAGAATTTAGAAGTTCCGGAATTCAGAAGTATTATATTAATAGAAAATAGAAGGGGAAAAATCGGGACCGAAAAAAATGTTCGGTTTTTAGAAGTTTCCGGATTTCAGAAGTTCCGGAATTCGGAAGTTACACTGTATATATAAAACAAAAAACACAGTCCATGAGTTAACTTATTTAATTATTTGCCAACCGGTTTCTCTTATGATCATCAGGGCAAATGTGACGTCGTCGCATAGTAACGACGACGTTTTTGTGTACACATATGTACGCATAATCTAAAAATAGTAACGTCATTATATAGTATTAAGTTTTGGATTAAAAACATCAATAAAATAGCGTTCTCTAGATAACCTAGCTGAAACGTTTTTACTGTGAAATTTATAAAATGGGAAAATACAAAATTTCGGGTCTTTTTTAGAGCATTTATCTAAATGCTCACTTAAAGGTAATTGTCTGGTTGATGGGTCTCTTATCTGCTGAGCATGAACAGTTTTTCTGTTTCTGAGTTTGTCACCTGTTTGGCCTATGTAAAATTCTTTGCAGCCGTTGCAAACTAAAACATATAAAACATTTTCAACAGTACAGTCCATATTTTCTTTTATATGAAATATTTTATCCTGAAGTTTTAAAGAATATCCTTCTATTAAATAATCACAGAGGCCACACCTCTGTTCGTTGCATTTTTTAACACAGGGCATTATATTGTTTTCTTTAAATTCTGAACTTATTAAAATGCTTTTTAAATTTGGTAATTGTCTTTTGCATTTTATTATGTTGGTGTTGCTTATTATCTTTTTCATTTTTTCATCATGTTTCAGAATTTCCATGTTTGTTTTAATTATGCCAAACAATTCTCTGTTTTTTCGGGTTACATGTTGAAATATATGGAAGAATTTTGTTTTTTGGTTGCTCCTTAACTTGAAGTAAGGTGGTTCGGGGAATCTCCAAAGCTTTTTTAATACCAGTTTTTATAAGTTGAATTGGAAATTTTCTTTTAATTAGAGTGATGGCGAGTTCCTTAAGTCTAATCTTAAGTATTTCCTTATCAGATACAATTGCACATATTCTCCTTGCTAGCGAAAACGGGATATTTGTTTTAA